CCACCGTCAGACCCAAAACACCACTGATCTTTATTTCGGCATCATGGCGACCCCAACAACCCATAGAATCCCTGCACGCGCCCCTCGCACTCGATGCATACAGTGACGCATGGCTATTTTTGTCCTGAGTCACGCCGCGTAAGCGCTTGCACTCGCTACATCACCCTTTTTGAGAGTGAATACTTGTTACAAAATTGTCTAAAAGTTCAACTTCACGGGCGCTTTCACTCTTCTACCAGAACGCGTGAAATATTCTTACAGGTGCACTGTCACATTCACCACCCCGTCAAATTACAATGTTTGTGGCTGACGAAAAGCAGTACGACTTGAAGGAGTCAACGTCGAAGCCTCGCTGTATGAAGCCATGATGCCAGTCGTTCCCGCTGTGTCTTGCATTGGACCGGCATTTTTTTTTTTTTGCGGCGAGTCTGACGCAAAAATTTCACAAGATGCCAACGATTGCGTGGGATGATTCCCGACGGAGTCTTCACCGCATTGGAGAGTGGTCGTTTGGCCGGGCTCAGCACCTTGGCGGCGCAAGAGACAACGTAAACCCACACGCCTTCCCCTAGAGACGAAGATCGAAAGTGCTGGACTCGATGACGCTGATTGAAGTCCCGTTGTTGTAGTCCGCGCGCCGCTTTGTCTTTGCGCTGGAAGTCTTCTTGTGATGGCCAAGCCGGAATCAGAGCTTCGTCCAGTTTAGAAACTTTGGTCTGAAAACGTCAGCCAAAGAGGCGCTGGGATGCCTGTACCTGCTGAAGCCCGGCGTCTGTCGATACACAAGAAGAGCCATATGCGGATCCTGTGACTTGAAGAACAGTTCTTTCATGGTCCGTATTATTCTTTCAGCTTCCCCGTTCGCTTGAGGAAACCTGGAACTGCTTGTACCATGGCGAAAACCGTAGCACGATGCAAAAGCTGCAAATACCCGTGAGGAAAATTGGGCCCATTATCAGAGAACACAGCATCCGGGTTGCCAAAGCGGGCGAAGGAACTCTTCACTGCTGCAACGATGGCTGTGGACGACAAGAAGGTAAGGCTCACCACTTCGGCGAAACGGGAGTAAATCCACAATGATGGCGAGGTGCTTCCCGAACAGTTCAAACAAGTTGTAGCCCACTCATTTCTAAGGACGACATGGCGTGGGCGCGCAGAGTAGCGGTTCAGAGCGTTGCACTCTGCTTTGCGCACACCGCTCACATCCCGTGGCGAGCTGCTCAATCTCGCGTTTCACGGTAAGTTCACGGTTCAATCTTCGAATCTTCAATCCATTGCCCCAGTCCTGGGGTTCGAGAAGTCGAAGTTCGGAGGAGGCGTTAGTCCCGTGGCACCGAAGGGCTGATGGAAAAGTGCCGTGGCGGCGGCGGAGATTGCTTCGTTGTCAATGATTTGACTATGGCATTCGGGTTACGCGGCGGCTGCTGTTACGATCCCACTTCTGACACCATGTTGCGGGTAGCCCTGGGCTAGCCGCTCATAATGAGGGAATAAGCAGCCGACCACCGTGAGACTAAAACACCCCTGATCTTTATGTCGGCATCATGGTGACAACTACAAACAATAGATTCCCTGCACGTGCCCCTCGCACACGATGCACTCAATGACAGACGCCTACTTTGTCCTGCCTCACACCGCGAGAGCACATGCCCTCAATACATATCCAGGGCTAAGCCATAGCCTCCTCTATATGGGGAATTTTTTCCGCGAATTTTAGGGGAAACATTTTCTGCTAAGCGGGGACATTTTCCGCTAAAAGCGGGGAACGTTTTTGCTATATTTAGCAAGAAACTTTTTCCCCTAAATTTATCGGGGAAATTTACTCATTATGCAACGCGCGGTGACGTCACAAGTGACCCTCGTCACGTCACACATGACATCACGTGTGACGTCAATATGGGAAACGTCCCATAATGCAACGCGCGGTCACGCCGACGGCAACGCCGATGCCGGCGCCATTCAAGCCAGCTGCGCTTTAAAATAGTCGTTAGTTGTTTATACAGCAGTAGTTTACTCTGCCAGAACAAGGCGACATTTTACCCACTGCAGATGATAAATTTAGCTAGTGGAGTAGGACTGCTAGCCTGGGGTCTTTCAGGCGCATCACGCAGTAGTGATACACGACCACATGCTCATCCACATTGAAACGGGCAGGGGTAGGGATTGAACCCAGGATAAATAATAAAGAAATAATAACCAACTCGTCCAATCCTCCATCTTAAAAGGATTGTCCGGTCGAAACCTGAGGTACTTATGTTTTTGCGCTCGTTACGTCGAGGAAGGCTTCATATAGACAAATGTTATTTTATTTGATATTATTATTATTATTATTATTATTATTACCTTGTTCGGGCAGTGCACAAACCTATTAGAAACTAAAGTGAATTTTCTCCTAAAGGGCATCTTGCGTAGCGTGGCATATGGCTCCAATACTCAAACATCCGACAACATCTTTGACGATCTCTCTTTACCGTCCTTTCGAGCCCTATTTCTGCATACCGTTATACTCCGACATTACTGGGACAATACCTTTAAGGTTCCCAACGTGGTTTGTCGTGACCTTCGGAAAGTGGCACCCTATGCCACGCCGCGAATTAGTACTCATTTTGGGACATGCATTCGGAGTTATTATGTTCCAAACACCTTTAACAAACTCCCACCTGTGCTGAGTGACATTACTTCTCGTGGGAAGTTAAAAAGAAAACTGAAGACTATATGTGCTCGTCCATAAGAAAATAGCGCCAACCTTCAAGATTTTTCGTAATGAGTTTGTACTGTTCAATTCGTCGTTAACGATATTTACCTTGTCGCGTCTCTGAATCTCTGTAACTTCTTTGTTCTTTTTTTTTTTGTGTGTGTGTGTGTCTGTGTGGTTTTTTTTTTTTCATTGTTATGCGTGCTTTTGTATATATTTTGTTGGGATCAGTCCTACAAGTCTTTAGGACTTTGACGGTCCCGAAATGATACTCTGAGGACGTTTAAGCACCTGCAATAAATTTATTATTATTATTGTTATTTATTGATACTATATCTCCAATTTGTAGATTTTGTAGGGGTGGGCAACAAACAATCATCACTGACAATACACTGAAAGAAAAATCAACTGAAAAATCAACAGCGTCAGCACTATGCATATTACATCATTCGAAATGTCAACACGTTCAGGTCTATATAGAAAAGGAAGTTTAACGTCATAACACATATCAGGCTTGCACAGCAGAGTCCACCGAGCCTGTATGTACGAAACTGCACCCTGAATTTCGCCAGAGTCAATGGCTGACATCCGTAGCTGCTGCGTGACGTCACAAAACCCAAAGGATTGTCAGATGGTCAGCATAACAAGCTTTGATCGAGGGGGGTTTTGTATTTTGTTTGGAATCATATAGTCTCTGTTATGATGTCATGAGGCTTTCTGATCTTAGAAGAAGAGGACATCCAGTGAGCACGCTCGCAGGAGGTGGCACGCACTGTTGCGTTTAAACATACGAGCATTCGCCATAGCTGCCGCTTTGATCCCGTATGTACTTATTAAACAGTTTGCTTAAACCATCCTCCTGAGCTTAACTAGCAACATAACATGGTGTCAGAAGTGGTGAGCAGCTCAACGTCCATATTTTTCATTTAACAAGCAACAGCAGCAACAATATGGCATCTGCTTTCCTACAACCGCCGGCTCCGTTCCATCCTGGTGACGACCCAGCAAGAGCATGGGAGGAGTGGAAATCATCGTACCTTATCTTCGAGGCAGCCTGTGAATATGCATCGAAGCCTATCGCAACTCGGCAAGCTTTTCTGCTCCACTGCCTTGGACCTCAGGCAAGACGAATTACGCAAACCTTTTCTCTGCAACCAACAAGAGATGGTCAAAGCGCGGGCAAAGAGAGAATGCAGTAGATTACATACTGCACGAATTTGATAAACTGTATGCACCTTACAAAAGCGTGACACAAGCCACAGCCATTTTTAACACAATGTGCAAAAAGCCAGAACCATTGACGAATTTGTAACTGAGCTAAAACTGCAGGCTCAGAAATGCGACTACGGAGCTCAAGAAAACAGGCTCATCTGTGATCGTATCATCATTGGGATACGAGACGTGGCTTTGCGCGAACGGTGGCTTCGTGAACCGAGTCTAACCCTACACAAAATCATTTCAACCTGTAAAGCAGCTGAAATCTAAAAAAAAACACGTGAATGATATTAAGAAAACTGAAGACGAAGTTAGAGTTGATGGACTCTATCGTCAGCCATCTAGCTTCAGAGCAGCGCAACGAAGTTACCGACCATCCGGACCACAAAAAGACCACTCCAGCAACCAACAGCAAATTTCATGTTCGAGATGTGGTACTTACCATCAACCCCGGAACTGCCCAGCTTATGGAAAGCACTGCCTTTCGTGTGGAAATTTTGGACATTTTTACCAAATGTGCAACCAGACACAGCAGAAAACCTACGGATATCGACGTGTTTCTGCAGTAGAAAAAACTTCCAACTCATCCATGAACAATGACCGCAATAAAACGATCCATTTGGGAGGCATATCAATTGGGCCTCTTCCATCAACCAAAGCAACCAAGTTTGCGCAAACTGGGACAGAGCTGGAGAGGCGGTCAAAGAAAAAAAAAAAAGGCATGCTGGCATCTCGCCCCGAAGAGGGACAAGGCCTGATTTCAGAGTTAATGTTGGCAACGGCAGAAATGCAGCGAATGTCTTTGGAGCACGAGAGAAATATCGAAGCGAGCTTTGGCCGTGAGCAGGCCCTTCAACGCGAGTGCAAGGCAGCTTCGGCTCTCCTGGGGAAGATGCAAGCGCAGCAAGCAGAATTTTCTCATGCCAAGTATCAGGAGTCTGAAGATTGAAAGCCCAGTTAGTTTCTCTAAGTAGGGATTTGTCAAAGCAGCTAGAGCTTGTAGATGCCAAGGTGGAGGAAGCGAACACCCTGAAAAAGAAGATCTCAGCTTGAGCTCGAAAGGTTTTCTGCCGGGTACTGCATCTTGCAGGATGTCCTTCTTCAAGACTGGGGCGAGGACTTGCCGCTAGTTCAGAATGATTCCGAAGAACGAGAGTTCAGTGCCTTTCAGTACCTCAAGAAGCTGCTGGACATCGCAAGACGCAAGAGAGAGGCCCTGAAAAACCAGCTTGCTAAAAAAGAGGAGCAGTTCAATCTACTTCAGCAAAACTATCAGTACTTAAAGGACCGGTACCAGAGGCCGTTACAAGACCTCGGGGCATTTGTCCGGAGCATCATCGAAGCATTTGTCCGGAGCATCATCGAGCACACCAACCAGTCATCAGAAGCTGCAGTGTCTCTTGAAGCAAGTCAGCTGGAAGACTTGAACCGTATGCTGGCAGTGCTTCAGGAACGGGTCACATCCTTGACAGTTAGGAACGAGCTCCTCGCTCAAGCAAGTCAGCAGTGGAAATCACCTTGTGAAGATGCGAGTGAAAAAATTAGATGCGTGTTTAATGAAAGTCACCTCTGGCAGCAGAGACACGAAAAGGTGGCGGAGACTTTGAGAGAGAGAGAGAGAGAATGCTGTTAAGTGTAACAATTCGTCGCAAACGGAAGCAGACGGAAGCTCCTTTACCGAGAAGGCAGAAACAGAGTGCGAGAGGATAGACGAGAAAGTCAGCAGCCTCCTAAAACGCAACGGAAAGCTAGAAAGCGAAGCCGACATTTTGTGGTCAAAACTTTCCTGCCTGGAGGAGCAAGCTGAGATGCTCGTCAGCGACAACAAACATTTTCAACAGCTAGCTGAGAACTTAAAACAGGCACGACATTGCCTCGGGGAGGAGTTGAAGACTCAGCGCGAGCAGCACGTCAAGGCCACCAAGGAGATAGAGAACAAGCACTGCACTGCGCTGGACGAAGCGGCCAAGTGTGAGGCAGCCCTATCAGCGCTGAAGACAGACCACTCCCAGCTGTTGGACAAGTATAACCACATTATATACAGACACCGGAACCTACAGGAAGAGTTTCACGCGGCAGCCCAAGAGAAACGCAGTTTGGATGACAGGTGCGCTCAGCTCACAAAAGAGTGGGCAACAGCCAGACGAGGTCTCGCAGTCTTCGAGGAGCAGCAGGGCGCAGTGGGACAAAAGACCATGCAGGAGCTGCAAGAGCTGTGGCAAGCAAACCAGCAGTTGCAAGAGCGCTTTCGCCTGCTCAAGGACAAGCATCTCAAGGCTGAAGAACGGTTGGTACAGGCGCCAAACCGAAAAGTGGAGGCCTCGATGGAACATGTCACCGAGGGCACTGGGGGTACAGCGAGAACTTTGGAGGCACCAGCAAGCCGAGTCAAGATAGAGGAACTCTCCCGGCGGTACGAGTCCCTTTTAAAATAGTCTCGTGCCGAGGAGAACAAGTGGAACCAGGACAAGCAGCAGCAGAAACACATCGAGGACTTACAGGCGCAACCGGTACCACACCAAAGAAGCACATGGAACAGCAGAAACGAATACAGCTGCTGAAAACTATTTTCTTACAGTCTCAAACGAATCTGCTGAAGACTATGTCCATACAGTTTTAAATGGCGAATCACTTGAACACATTTGCAAGTCTACAAGGTCAACAGGATAACCAAAAAACAAGAAGTCGACACGTTGTGGTGAAGCCGCTATGATACAGAGACTGACAAGTGCCGCGATCGCACTGCGTTATCTTCAAAAAAAGAAAAAAGAAAAAAAGAGAAAAGAAGAAGGGGGGCATGTTATGATGTCATGAGGCTTTCTGATCTTAGAAAAAAAGGACATCCAGTGAGCACGCTCGCAGGAGGTGGCACGCGCTGTTGCGTTTGGAACTGACGAGCATTCGCCATAGCTGCCGCTTTGATCCCGTATGTACTACTTATTAAACAGTTTGCTTAAACCATCCTACTGAGCTTAACTAGCAACATAACAGTCTCCTAGACTGTACCCCACTGAAATACGTTTCTTTTAATGTAGTTACCAAGCGTGTGCAAAAGAAGTCAAGCTTGTTAGTAGGATATTACTCGAAAACAGCCATGATCTCAGAAGAAATGTATGCAGTTTCGCGATGGCCACCGATCGAACTAGGTGCGCTTGCAAAGCAAAGGATGCAGATTTTGCCTCTGAAGCGGCATCTGGGCAGTGGATACATATATCGGCAAATCCAATGGATCGGTGATGAGGCTGCGTTCCCTCGGAGGCGATGTCCGCCGGTCGAAGGCAGACGGCGAAACTTTCAAATGCATGTCGTGTGGGAGCCACGTGTTCCCCGTCTCCCTATCTAGGCCTAGCACAAGCAGGCCGTGGGAGCGTTATGGCGACGTCATCCCGGATACGGGGGTAAGGCCGCATTCCTCGAAGAGGGCGTGTCTTCCCTCGCCCTTTTGGGTGAAAGTGCCTCCGGCGCACCCTTCGGAAATGATTGTGGACGCGGCCCATCTGCGGGATAAGCCACACTACCTACCCCGGGCGCGTCCACTTTCCGCTGGCTAGATAAGCGGCCCGCGAACGGCGGCCCTGTCTCTCGTGTTGGGGGAAGCTCTCGTCGTGAGCCTCTTTCTTTTTTGTTGCTTCCCCTTTGTCCCACGAATCTGCCTAATACGGCAGCGGGGGTCCCCTCCAGGTGAATCTGTCTAATACGACAGCGCCGACACTTTACCGTTCCTTTTATTTATTAGTTTTGCCGACGGGCACAGCGTGGTGGCACAGGAGCCTAATAAACCCGCTTTTTCAGTACCTTTGCGTTTTCGGAGTGATTCCTCTCCTCGGAGTCTACGGCAGCCTCCGGACGGACCCGGCCGTAGCAATCCTCAACATCGTGCTACGGAGTGGGATCGACCTCGCGGTGCAGTGAGGTAAGTCGAATCCCACAGTCGTCACATGACTTGAATGACGAGCTTGAGGAATCGTAGCCACGTTCCTTTTTCACACGCGGGTCAAACGGAATCGGGCTGCACGCGGGCTCAATACAGCTTTTGGCATGGCTTCCAGATGGCCTAGCTGTTGGTTTCGGTTTCGCTACATAATCAAACCGATTGATCCGATTTGGGCGACCAGTGGGTAGACGTAGTTGAATATCTTTGGCTCTGCGTCACACATCAGCTTACGAGCCTCCTGTCTGCTTAGAGCTCAGCTCGTAACTCTCTTCTATGAGATGATTGCTGTACAAGCGAGTTCTCGATCTTGACGGGAACCCAGTCCCTACGCACGGCGACGATCCATTTAGCTCGTCACTGCACGTCTCGCGGAAAAGTGTGGAACGTCACGTCTTGGCTTGGATATTCTGCCCGGTGGTTCTGGCACCCAACCACGCAACAAAACTCTCACCCATCCACAAAACAAGTCGAGCGCAACAACAAAATCGAAGCACGCTGCGGAGTTCACTCGCAGACAAACGACGAGACGGAAATGCTCGCTTTGTGGTGTGTGATGTCAGCGCTTCAATGTTGCCAACAAAATCAGTGTCTACGCTAGGATGCGATCGGAGCAGTATAAATTGAATTACTCACGCAGAGGGGCATATAAAATTAAGATATTGCACGTACGATGTGTCTCGAGGCAATAACAATGATGTTCAATTGTTTTCTCGAATACAAAATTGGACCGGGCAATCTCTTTAGGAAGGAAGGCTGAGAGCTCTTACACCTGATCCACGTTGTTCGAACGTTGCCGTGTTTTCTATGAAACGAACGAGGCGATAAAAAACGAAGAGAAGGAAGCCGAAGCGCAGGTTCTATCGGCAAGTCCCGCTGCAGCCTCACTGATTACACTATGGCGGATCGAGGAAGGGCCGGGGGCTCCAGCGAAATCGACGTGACCAAGCCGATCAAGCACATGCTCGCCTTCATCGAGCAGGAGGCCAACGAGAAGATAGCAAACTCCGGCAACATTTTGTCGACTCGTTGACCTGGCACGCTCATTCTCCGTTTCAGTTTATTCGCGTGAGCGGTGCCCAATGATCACGAAAAATACCCCCGGCAGTTTCTAGATAGAGCCACTAAATATAAGCTGCGTTTCGGAGTAACGACGCTTTAGCCATCGGATGGATGGATGAATAGATGCTAACGGCCGTACCCTTTATAACGGACTGTAGCTTGCGCCGTCTATTCTTAAAATGTGCTTAAAGGTATGGTTGCAAGTCACCCGAAGCTTCACTGGAAATCGCAGGGAAACGTTTTTAGCACCGCAAAAATGTTAAATTAGACTGCGACTGAGCGGAGCGACAATGCCCGAGCTTCGCGACAGCGTATCTAAAACTCAGATGAAGGAAGTCTCAGGTGAAGGGAAACTCAGGTGAAGGAAAACAGGAAGTCCTAATAATCTAGTCTTAATACACTGCACTAAGCTCCGAAATGACGGCACCCATAAGGGAATTGAGAAATGCTGCACTATAGTACTCTAGCGGAGCTTGTAGAGTGTCTTTTTAGTAATCGTTGAGATGGCGTGTGGGAAGCTTTTTGAACCCGATGAAACGAGACCCCTATCCCTCGGCCAAGGTGGAAGAGATCGACGCCAAGGCCGAGGAAGAGTTCAACACGGAAAAGGGCCGCCTGGTCCAGGAGCAGCGCATCCACATCATGGACTTCTACGCCAAGAAAGAGAAGCAGGTGGAGCGCATGCGTAAGATCCAGAGCTCACACGTGAAGAACGCCGCCAGGCTGCGCCTCCTGAACGCCATGAACGAGCACGTGGGCCGTGTCCTTGCCGAGGCCAAGGCAAACCTGGGCGTCATCACGGGACAGGAGAAGCGGTACAGACCGTTTCTCGAGAGACTCGTCCTCCAGGTGGGAAGACATCACAATGGATCACGCAGTCTGTTTTTTTTTTTTTCTGGTTTTTCCTTGAATGTTGTGGGGCAGTGCTCTTTCTTTTTTTTTTCTATTCTAAATTGTTGTATGACCGAATTTTTTTATAGTGCATTGAACGATGTTCGCAAGTGACTTTTTACCATAGTGTCTGATTACTTTTTTTTTTTTTTTTTTAGTTTCATATATTTCATTGCCGACTGTTCAACCTCTTTTTCGTTTAGTGTTCTCAGTGTATTTTCCTTTTCCCATGCACGCTGCTTGTAGCTGCTGAAGGTAAGGGGGCTTAGGACTAGTCAAGCTGTATCAACAGCTTTTTTTCCAAAGCCCCCAACAACAGTGTACTTTTTTTCTTGGGGGGGGGGGGGGGGGGTATACCTGTTATTATTATCAGTGGACAGTTCATTTAGGGGGGAGGGGGGGGGTCGACAGCTGAGTGGGCAAGCTTACCTGAGCCCGGAGCACGTGTTGCGAAAGGTGGCGCTGCAGAATCCAAGGATCCTGGATTCCGTCCCCACCTCCGCCCTTTTCAATTTGGTTGAACATAGTACCGGCGAGCGGTCGTGTATTACTACATCTTGGTGCACGGTAAAGACCCGAGGCCAGCATTTCTACTACACTAGCGAAATTTCTCATCTCGGCTGAGACACCAGACGCCCATTAAAGGGATGGTGAACCGAAATTTAGATTTCAGAAAACAATGCAGGAGATATAGGCGGGATTCTACAATCCCTACAACACTACTCGCAAGGTGATATCTCGAATCGACGGCCGTATTTAAAAAAAAAAAAAATTAAAGGTCTAAAGCAACCTCGTTTCCTCCTCTCTTCGTTTCGTTCCTCAAGGCAGCGAGACGGAGAAGACGCGAGGCGGTTCCCTCTCCTTCTCGGAGAACCAAGACGTGAACATATCTGTCAAATGCACCTAATTTTTTTTTTTTTTAAATACGGTTATTCGTTTGATATATCGCTGTATGAGTGATGTTTTAATGTTTGTAGCATCCCGTTGCACACTTTTGCCGCCGTGCTTTGTGGAATCCAGATTCCGGTTCAGCATCCCTTTAAGGCTGACTAAATACTTCCGGCTATATAAACATACATACAACATAATTATTATTAGTAAACATCTCCTATACTCCGTTCCACCCTAAGCCCACCCGCAGCGGACACTGCGATCGGATGGACCGTGCAACGATATTCGCTCTGAACGTTTTTCATTTTAGACGAGTTTACTGAGTTTACTGTAAGGCCGAAGTATACTCGCACGCGACGCCACCGACCAAGAAACTCCTTTATTGCGGTGTAGATTCAAGGACAAAAGCGAGCGTTTTTTTTTTTTTTTTTTTTCAGCCACTTTTTTGCAAAAACTTGACGACGTAGCTGGGGAGTTACGTGACGATATTTGAATGTGGCTCATATAGACTGGACACGAGCACTGCGTGAGCACTCAATTTGGGCTCATGATAAACGATGGCCCGGCAAGCATTGGGGCAGTGGCCCGTGTCCAATCGCTGCCTTGACGACAATAACCAAACCAAACAATGTCTGGAACTCGGCGCGTGTCCTGTATCTAATTTTCCTGTGCTCTGCCACATTGGCGGCATATAATCTACTACGTGACCGCTTGTTCGTTTTTCTTAAAAGTTTTTCTGCGACTTCTATAGACAATTGCAAGCATGGTGCCCCACTGGTGCCCCATGCGTTCAGGCTCGTGCAGCATGCGCGTAAACATAGCTTCGACAAGCTTGTAATTGAACGAGCTTTTCCGCACGAGCGCAGACATGCCGGCGGCCAGTCACCCTGCTTGCAATCGACTATTGCGTGTGGTAAAAACGAACGCGTGTTTCATAGCTCATTAACGTCAGGGATTCGTTCTAACCGGTATTTGCGCAAAGTACACAAATCGTTGCATCGCCCCTTTAAGTTGAGCCTGCAGCAAAAGCTACAAGCGCGAACTAACCCGCACTCGCGCCTGGCTTTGAGACGTGCATCTCTAGCGCGAGGGCTCGTTCTGCGGAAGGACGCTTCAAAGCAGCGACCTCAAGTTCTCGTGCTCGTGGCATTGGCTGCAGTCTCAGCTCAAGGCTGAACGGAGTACAGGAGTTTTCTATTTACACTTCGTTTCCCCATGGGCCGATCTGCTAGAAACAGCGTCTCAGCTGAGCATGGTGAAAGAAAGCATTGCCAAAGCCATGGCGCACGCGCTGAGCGGGACTCAAACCGCGTCTCAAGACGCTCGCCTCTCACACCCCAGCCTTTGCAGTGCTTTCTTTCACCCAGTCTCGGCTCAGACGCTGTTCGAGCAAGCCGACCTGGAGTCCAAGCGCAGCCGATGGTATTCCGAGCCTAAAGGCCCACCAGTGCCAAAATCTCAACGTCACTGCGTTCGGCGTTCGTTCGCCGTCTTTCTGTGCGTTGCTCGTCTCCCAGCTCATGCAATAGAGCGCAGAAAATGCGCGGTGACTTTACAGTTTTCGTGTGTGATGTGTAAGCGCGCGCGTATTTGTCTTTTGTACTTCATTTCAGCTGAAGTCCGGACGCAGCCGACGCTACGAGGTAATTGTTGCGTTCACAGAGGGGAGCCGACACCGTGCAACGGATAGTTTAACATTTAATTGCTAAAGTAAAGGTAAATAACACTCAAAGGAAATGAATGCGCCCAGAAGGTGACGACGCCATCGTTCCGTCATTTCGTGCACGTTCCAGCCGAGCCCTTCTTTCTCTTTCCTCTTGGGCCCGTTTGCTCGAAGCTGGTTAACTAACCGCGGCTAACCGGATTTCCCTACGAGGGGGAATTTCGGGTCACGTGACCGGCAGAGTGAGGACGGCGGGGTAACATGGCGGTGCCCCGGTGAGTGAGCGCCGCTCGCTTTGGAACTATTACGTCGTAGTAGCTGCAGTATATAGCGGGCGAGTTAGTCAGCAATGAATGGTGCAGGAGGTTTTCGCGTTGCCTTACCTCACTTAAAACGCAAAACATGAGCAATGACCTCGCCGCATTTTTTAGATATACTTTCGACTCTGGCCATTCCTAAGCCTAAATGAACGCGATAGTTGTCGGCATGGCAACGTCTTTGGACAGTGGATTGCCTTGACTCAATCGGCCGGGTATTGATAGCACACAAAAGCAGAGAGCGTTCCCATAGACCTTTTGCTAAATTTAAAAAGCACTGAGGTGCATGCTACGAGTGTAGTTACACGCGCTGCACCTGCTAGCGTCTGCAGTAATAACTGTTCTGAAGCAAAACGCCTAAAACAAATTTTGCCGTGCAAGCGCGTTCGTCAAAGATTTATTATGATTATTTACTTCAAATCTTTTATAAGTGGAAGGCCAGCGCGCGCGGATCGTAGAATTACACTTCCAGCGTTCTTCTCGATGTTCGGGTAATCATTACCCGAACATCAAGAAGAACGCTGGAAGTGTTCTTCTCGATGTTCGGACCTATTAGTAAGTCACTAATAGGTCAATTTTCAGTGGAGCCGAGTTACAGGTTTTTCAATTTATGACGGTGTTATATACAGTTCTTACATGCTGGTCAACCACGCTGTCGGTGTACCGCCCGCCTTTCACTGCTCACTTCTTTCTCATCGTTTCTAGGACTCAACTTCGTCGTCCTCTCTCGAACTCGGAAGGAAATTTCAACGAGGCTTTTCTTCACTTCATACAGCCAAATATTTAGAAAATTTCCAAACGAGGGTTAATTTAGTTTTACCTTGCCAATTATTTGTACCACGAGCAATAAAAATTGTTTCATAAGCTCAAATGTATGCCGCGCTGCGTCGTGAAAACCAGGCAGTGCGCATTTTTTGGGTCCCCCCCTTTAGGGAACCTTTCCACGGAAGCCACGTATATCTGCTACAGCCAGTAGGTGACACCAGCTACCACCCCATAATAAAACACGGAGCCATCGCTCATCCAGCCCTCGTCAAACTTGGCTAGGTACTTGTAGGTACCTAGTAGGGAAGGGCTTAACCGCGGTTAAAGTTAACCGGCTTCGAGCAAACGGACCCAGGTCTCGGCCGCGCACACTTTCTTTTCTCCTTCCTATATGGGTGCTTGGTAATATTGTCCTTTTTGCACTTTATGGTTTCAACAGTAATAGGACCAATAACTCAGCCTGAAAAGCGCAAGTCACTGGGCCTTTTCTCTTAAGGATTGGTTCAGTGATGACAATAACAAGTACAGAAAGACGGCGAACACTATGATTGTGCTCTTTTGACGCTGCCTGACTGGTCCGGTCAGCTCGTAGCGTCGGATGTGTCTAGACTTAAAATGAAACGAAGTACTATATAGGCCGCTTTGACCGTGCTTGGACTGGAGTAGAGGTGTGGCATGTGTTGGATAGCATCTGTTTCCCAGGAGAGACCGAAAGTAATGCAGGTTAAGTATAGAGTGATTTGTACTCTAGCTATCGGTGTCTGACCTCGTCAATCTGTAACAACGGAAGAACAGCAGAGAAGAATCTGCCCTCACATTTCCATAGAAATCAGGTCATCACCCCACTGAGTGAAAACGCACTATTGCGATATACCCACGTGGTCGCGCTGCTTGGACACGCTCCCTCGCCTCCCCACCGCCGCCGCCTGTGGTATGTACGCGAGCTGTTCTGTAGACCATTTCGTCGTTTACCCTGAGACTGGGGGGTTTTTAGAAGAGCAGAAGTAACAGAAAAAACAGACAGGTCTCAAACTCAGATACAAGTTTATTTCAACAACCTCCTCTTATATAGTTCGTTCTCGTCGTCATCAACCAATCACATACGACTTGTCCTCTGCACCGTGACTTTACAGGTTCCACTCTATCACGGTGCAGAGGACAAGTTGTATGTGATTGGTTGATGACGACGAGAACGAACTATATAAGAGGAGGTTGTTGAAATAAACTTGTAGCTGAGTTTGAGACCTGTCTGTTTTTTCTGTTACTTCTGCTTTTCTAAAAAAAACCCAGTCTCAGGGTAAACGACGAAATGGTTGACTTCCACCAGCTAGCCTGTACCTTGACTCTTTTCTTGTTCTGTAGAGGCGCGCAACAGCTCGCGTACATACTTTCGCTTTTTCCATCGCAGGCGCGCCACGGGCGCCCCCCCCCCCCCCCCCCCTTTTCCGTCTAAATGAGCGTTTCAGCCACAGAAAAAGCACGTCTCTGAGTCTTTCTTCAACGCAGGCAACATCTCGCACAATCGTACTTCCAAAGCACACATCTCCTCACACACGTCCTCTATACATCAATTCCACCGAAAGCAAAGAACCCTTTGCACACGGGTTGGAAGCAAATCTCCTTCAACATGCCTTTCCACAATGCAGCAGCTACCGCCGTTAATCGCAACGCACTTTGTGTGGTGGTTTGGACATTTTTTTAAACATTTTTTGTATTGACCAATCGGACAGGACTTTCATGCAAGGAAGGAACGCGCCTAGGACAGTGTCTGAAAACTGTATTTTATATGCAGTGTGATTGCACCTTTGTGTTGCATCATATTCCGGGTCCATGATGCCATGTAATAGGTGTCCCAATAGCAATGGGATAATTGCGGCTGATAATCTGCTTCACCAGTCCGATGTCCAAACAAGTGAAGCAGGCAGTCGAATTTGATCCGAAGAAATTGAGAAAGAACTTCTTTGAACCCTGAGAGTTGCAGTCGTCGTTTTGCTAAGAGACTTGGCTGATAGGCGAAGAGACTCGGACAATTCTCTTGGCGATACGTCAGCTGTAAGTCTGAAGCTTTCAGGAGCCATTTTATGCATCCGTGTTATGAATTGCAAAAGACAGGGCCCTTCTGGAGGTCAGCTATCTCACATTGGTCGCCGGTGTCCAGGGTTTATATCAGCTCCTGGATCACGACGTGACCGTAGTTTGCCGCCGCAAGGACGCCAAACTGGTGCAGGCGGCTGTGGAGGTGGCCTCGAAGGTCTTCAAGAAGAAGACGGGCATTCAGGCCAACGTGACGCTCGTCAAGGACAACTTCTTGCCGGAGGCGTCTACGGGAGGCGTGGAGATGTCCTCCATGAAGGGCAAGGTCAGGATCGTCAACACGCTGGAGAGCAGGCTTGAGCTCATCTCGCAGAAGATCCTGCCACGGATTCGCGTGGAGCTCTTTGGCAAGAATCCGGACAGAAAGCACACCGACTGAGCGTTTGTAGACTCCGTGTTGACGGGTAGGGTTGAAGGTTCATGAGGCGCCCTTGATGGTAACGGTTGAAGATAATGGCGCCGCTAAGGATGACATCAGGGGTTTCGTCGGTTCACGTCACGTTTAGCGAGAAATATTTCGGTGGCCTTGCCGGTTTTTGGATGGGATATACATAAACAAAATAATCAACGCTCAATTTGTGTGTCCATGGACCTCTCATTTACCCGTTAAACAGTGTGTTCAATTACGACTTGGACGATCCCAAGATGAAAGGTAGACGTCACCTGAAAGGTACGCTATGCATTTCTTTTTTTTTTTTTCAATTCAGACTTGACAGTATTCTTCTCTATTGAGAGGCTTATCAAATTCGGCCGTGATTTGACTAGCCACCCTCCCCCCGAAAGTATCATACTCTCCCTACATTTTCACTGTTTTTATTTTCCTATAACATAAGTGGAGCAATGGTGGCAACACTGCAGTGTGAGTTTACTTAGCGCCATACTTGGGTATATTTTTCATTGCGCATGATCAGAGCGAGTTCACACTTATGTCAAAACTGCACTTATGTCTGATCAGAAATGAAACATTAATGATGTGGAATGGATGTCGCAAGAGCGCTGTGGAAAGTACTGTACTCTGTTTCACCTTATGATGTACCGCAGGAAAGGCTACAAGCGCGAGCTTCTTGCTCTGGGACACATCTGGGCGGCACAAGCTGTCGTGAATTAAGAGCAGCTGCCAGCGCTATGAGTTCGCGCTTCTAACCTTCGCTGCGGTACAACATAAGGTGAAACGAGTTATTGTACTATTCGCCTCGAGATCAAACTTAAGATGGCGCTACTGTCGCGCTATCATCATCATCATTGTGCGGATAGGAATATGGCTGCCCCATAGGCTATCTGCGGTCGCGGACAAGAATCTGCAGAATATCGCGTTTAGTGCCTCGTGCAGTATCATTGTGGAAGCAATTTCGACAAAAAATGGTCCCGTATACTGTTCACTGTCTCAGTGCAATACCTATTGCACCTAGGCGGAGGTCAGTTTTTTTTTTCGATATCCAGTGACCGGCGTGGAAGAAAGAGTGGCTCTCGAAGCTGAGATCTGATTTCCTTCATCGTTTGTTCTAAACATTTCACCGCCGAAGACTTTAAACCAACGGTACAAGACAACCAGAATAAGTGGAAAAATAAAACTGTCTAGATATATGTCACTCGTAGCCCAAAGTATAGTACTCTTAAAGCGTGCGCGCTGATGTTCGCTACGGGGCAGTGTGATTGTCCTTATTATAAATACTCCCGCTGCATTTTTTTTAAATCTATTTTTGCGTGAGAATCCGACTTTTGAAACATTGTAGAATTGTCACTCCTACGAGCCCCCTGCACAATGCCACACTAATGGAGGCATCGACTGCAGCGGAAGTGACTCGCTCGGTGCCTGCGTGAGTGTCGGACGCACCTGATCAAATGTCCTGAAGTTCCGTCGGAAGTACGCGGTAAGTAGGGCTGATGGCAGCAAGTCAATCTACCGAAGGAGAAACAGGGACTATCGAGAATCAATAATCAATTATCCGTTTACACTCCATAAATTTTGGTACTCTCCGCGTGACGAAAGCTTCGTGCAACTTCACTTGAAAAACAAATTTTCAATGGCAAATCACGCTACATGAAAACGGCATGACTACATCTAAAGTTAGCAGCTCACTAAAGGACGTGGGCGCTACGTACGAAGCTCGAGTCATTCTTCTTCCGAAGTTACTGCACCGCCAACTGCAACACCCTTCGCGAACCCATTATTTTCGTGAATTACAAAATTATCGAAAAATAAAGGCACGCGAACACCTCTCTTGTTTTGAGGCCAGAATTCAAGACTTAAGAATTCACGAGAGTTAGCATCCGCGAATAGGTTACTACGCCTAATTTGCGAATAATTGGGATTGCAAAAATAAAGGGTTTTACGTATGCAGCGTTTAAAACGATCGGGAGGACGAATTGCGCGAATCTCTCAAAGACGTGTGCGACCGTTAGAGTTACAATTAAGAGTTATTCGGCGCAGTTCGAGTGCATGAAATTTCATCAATCGTGGCACCGTTCCTGAGTTCCAGATCCATAGTGTGGGGATCCTTGCTGAGAGCCGACGACTGCAGTACGTAGCTCCGCACGTGTACGCTCGTCGACGTTGGCGTTGGGCCCACAACGCTGCACTCAATAATATTCCCGGCATTCACAAGTTGGTCGCCTTCGACAACGCATCACTTTGCGTCGGCAATGTACTCCATAATAGTATGCAATAACACTGAAACTAAAACAAAAAAAAGTGAAAGCCGCTTACAACTCCCTGTAACGCCGAATTAGAGCGCAGCTCTTGAGGAGGAGGAGGGAAGGGCATTGGGGGGGGTTCAACTAACCAGGGGGGTCACGTGACCTTGGGGGGTCACGTGACCTTGGGGGTTACGTGACCCCCAAATGCCGATGATGTCATCACTGACGTCACTGATGACGTCATCAGTGACGATGACGATGCGGGTACCGATGACGTCATTAGTGACGTCACTGATGACTTCACCAGTGATGATGACGATGACGATGTGGATGCCGGTGACGACATCAGTGACGTCACTGATGACGTCATCAGTGATGATTACGATGACGATGCGGATGTCGGTAACGTCATCAGTGATGATGACGATGCGGATGCCGGTGACGTCATCAGTGATGATGACGATGACGATGCGGATGATGGTGACGTCATCAGTGACGATGACGATGACGATGTGGATGCCGGTGACGACATCAGTGACGTCACTGATGACGTCATCAGTGATGATGGCGATGACGGTGCGGATGTCGGTAACGTCATCAGTGATGATGACGATGACGATGCGGATGCCGGTGACGTCATCAGTGATGATGACGATGACGATGTGGATGCCGGTGACGTCATCAGTGATGATGACGATGTGGATGCCGGTGACGTCATCAGTGATGATGACGTCATCAGTGATGATGACGATGACGATGTAGATGCCGGTGACGTCATCAGTGACGATGACGTCATTGGGGGTCACGCGACATCGGCGGGGGTCACGTGACCTCAGGGGAGTCACGTGACTTCGGGGGGTCACGTGACCTCGGGGGGGTCACGTGCCCCCCCCCCCCCCCCCCCGAGGTCACGTGACCCCGGTGGGGGGCTCGCGCGGTGCATTATGGGACATTTCCCATGATGCACCGGGGTCACGTGACCTCGGGGGGGTCACGTGCCCCCCACGAGGTCACGTGACCCCGGTGGGGGGCTCGCGCGGTGCATTATGGGACATTTCCCATGATGCACCGCGCGGTTACGCCGACGCCGACGGCGACGGCGACGCCGCTCAAGCCGGAAACGGGCCCCTAAGAGCTGCGCTCTAAAACAGCATCGAAACAACAACCACAGTAGCAACATTATATAAGCATCCGGCTTAGCATTCCTTGCCTTCGCGTGTTTCCACACTCGTGAAACGATACAATCTTTTCGAAGAAACAAGCATTCACAACGTAAATAACGCAGTTTACCCGAAAACAAGCCTTCATCGTGTCGAGGATCAATATTTAAACGTGCGCCGAGAGCAGATGACGTGCGGCGGTATCCACACTATTTGTGTTTCCAACACCGGCCGCACGGTGGCGTCTTTGTTCGATCTCGAGGCGGATAGGCCACGTGCGTGACCGAAGGCGTCGCTGTGGTCGGCCTGCCACGATTGGCCGAATGCTGACTTTGACGTCAGCATTGTGACGTCAACAATGTAGAGCCCTCCCACTTCACGTGAAGATGGAGGACCAGTGAAGCTGTTATCTTTACGACGTGTAGGACGACGCCTAGAGGACGACGTCTAGGACGACCTCAAGGACGACGCCTAGAGGACGACGTGTAGGACGACCTCAAGGAGGACGCCTAGAGGACGACGTCTAGGACGACCTCAAGGAGGACGCCTAGAGGAATTCAGCCTTTCCACTTTGGTGAAAACCAGAGTGGAAAGGCTATAGAAAGGTTGCCGCCCTATATGAGCGACACCGGCAACCAGACAACCAGCAAGCCGGTTGTCTAGTTGCCGTCGTCGCTGATAGATCGCGGTTGCTGTCCAGAGTTTTGTGTCGACATTTGTTTGACAAGATTCGATAAACAGTCTCTTTCGGGGATTTGCCTCAACCTCAATGATGCATGCGTTGTCAAAGTCAATACGATAATCCTTGACGTCGCAGTGCTCAGCGACCGCGCTACGCTCATTATCAAACTTGCGTACGTTGTTTTTAGATTCTCTATATAAAGCTCTTTGTTTCAGCAATGTATGTGGCCGCGCAAACCCCGCAAGGAATCTTATATATAACGCCTTGGACTCTGTCTTCAGTGGAGCGATCTTTTAGGCGTGGCATGGATCGTTCAAGTGCACTGGCACGTGTCCTGGCTAGAGAGGACATCCAAATTGCGCATGAACCTGTGTCTATGCCCTTGGACGACTCATGGCAATTCCAAAAGATCGCCCCGCTAAAGACGGGGACCAAGGGTTATAAGATTCCTTACGGCGCTTTCGCGGACTCATACATCGGCGAAACAAAGGTGCCAGTGGCAGGTGCCGACGCTTGGCCCAGGCTCAGTCGTGTGGCGACTCATCACTCCAGTACGTCACAACCCATGTCTTCGTCATCCGTGCTTTCCGTGCTAGAGTCTCCATCGGTCTCGATGATGAACCTGTCGATAGCGATGTCGATAAGTCCGTCATCTGTGCACATTCGCTCCTTCACTCCGACGGCGTGATGTAAAGTGCGCCTCAAACTTAACGCCGCCGTGGCATTTGCCGTTTCTGACAGTCCATGCGGCGGCCGATTGAACTATCTCAAGGATGTTTAGGTTCCCCATTTCTATCCCATCCTGAAAAGGCATCCCGAAGGTTTTGATGGCAAATTTAAATGTAAGTAGCCAACACAGAGCTCAATGTTTGGGAACCCAGTAGCGGTGTTAAGTTTGAGAATAACTGTACATAACCTGACCAGATCTCTGAAGTCACTTGCTGCAGAGCGACTGGGG